CACACACACACACACACACTCACCTGGTGGACAGGTAACACAGAGGTGGAGCAGAATCAAACAGAACATCATGAACCAATGAGAGAATTTCTCGTTTGTTTGTTTACTGAACATGTTCCTTCATTAGTCACTTCATTCACTATTTCACTATTTTTCACTAAATATTTTTGACAAATTAAATTTGATTCATGGAGAAAATAAATAATCAGATTAATCAATAATGAAAATAAACCGATGAATTCAAATGAGCCGTAATCATCCAGCTGGGACTTTTATTTTGACAGAGTGATATTAGTACTTTTATTTAAGTAAAGGGACTGAGGACAAAGTTCATTTCATCTGTCCCCCCCCCCCCCCCCCTGACTCGTCCGTGGTGAAGCGAGGGAGTAAAGTTCAGGAGGAGAGAGAGATCACCGTGCTGCCGCAGAGGAAGACACACGATCTGGACGACCCCGCCGAGGTGAGTGGTCTCTCTCTCACACACACACACACACACACACACACACACACACACACACACACACACACACAGACACAGACACAGACACACACACACACTCACAGACACACACACTCACAGACACCTGAACTCTGAGAAAGGCTGAGTATTAATAGAAACTACAGACGTTGTTGTTGTTGTTGTTTACTCTCAGTGAACAGCTGATTCTCAACAGAGAAAATCAACAGATTGACAAAAGTATGTGGACAGCTCATATTAACAGATGGTTCTTGCTGTTGTTGTTGTCGTCATGGAGTCAGTTATTATGTATCTGTTTATATCAGCAGCGTGTGTGTGTGTGTGTGTGTGTGTGTGTGTGTGTGTGTGTGTGACCACTTCCTGTCTGCAGTGGATCATGACGAACTGTTAAGATTTCACTTCTGTGGAACTGCAGAGACTGAAACAGAGGGGTGTCCAAATACTTTAGTCCGTGTAGTTTCTCCCCTCAGTTGGGGGGGGGGGGGGGGGGGGGCACAGGAATGAGGATTCATTATCATCATTATAAGTTTCACAATTTTACATTTAATGAACAGAAATAACTTTGTTTAGAATCTTATTATTGACAGTGAATCTTTGTTCAGCTGTTTGATTCAGTTTGATTATTGATTATTGATCAGTGTTGGAGATCGATCTGGAACTCTGGCTCATCAAAGTGACAGTCTTTCATATTTACTTTCACTAATATTTTCCTTGTACCGGCTCGGTGGCCGACCCGTGGGCCGGGGCCGCAGGTTGGGAGCCGGTGACTGTCCCACAGTTCTACGTTCTTCTGGGTCTGATCACTTGTTTTCATTCAGAGTGATTGATTAAGGAGAGTTTTGATGAGCTGTGGGAGGAACCGCATCATGACTCCGTCACCTGGCTCCAGGTGTTCAGACACCTGCCGTCGGTCCGGACGTCCCCTCTGGATCAGGTCTCCAGGAGAAACCACAGGAGTTTCTCCAGCGGTAAAACGTTGCTGATGGATTAGGATTGTGTTGTTTGTCTTTGGTTACCGTGGTAACCTGCAGCGATCGACGAGACTCATGATTCATGTCGGTGACGACCCCGAGGATTTAAGTGGTTTCTGTCCTCGCCTCTCTCTCTCTGCTCAGATGAAGATGGCGTCGGACTCGTCCTCCTGCTGCTCGCCCTGCGTCCGGCTGAAGGACAGGTGTCCTCGTCCTCAGGGACTCTTCAGCCTGACGGTCACTAAAGGTAACTCCAGGTCAGCCGCAGGATTCCTCCAATCACACGCCACAAACATGAAACAACAGAGTGTGTGTATGTCTGCGTGTGTGTGTGTGTGTGTGTGCGTGTGTGTGTGTGTGCGTGTGTGTGTGTGTG